GAGGCCATGCATTTGAAGCTGTACTGGGTCCTGTATTCGGATTTTCAACAGGACCTATATAGGAAAGTGAAAACAAGGAGATGTTCTAGGAGTTGTTGCAAGACCTGTAGTGGAACCTGTCTTGCTGGCTCTACTCGGGCATTCCGTATTGGTTCTGGCAGGAGCAAGACCATTGGCAGAAATTGAAATGAGGTCGGGATTCTAGTAAGCAGCACGGAGCAATCTTGATGCAGGAGTTGCAGGCAAAGTCTTATTGGCTGCAGTAGGACTTGGCATGGGAGCTGCGGCCAGGGATGCAACAGAACTGCAATGCGCGCTGAAACACAAGCTCTATCAATAATTGTGGTCGGAGCTGTGGTGGGAGTTGTGGGGGTTGTATAGCTGGTTGCGGTACGCATGGAAAGAACAACTGCGCTGTGATATGTTTTGCAACCCGTACTGAAATGTAGATGGAACGGCCGTCGGAGTTGTAAGAGTAACGCTGTATTGTTGGTTGTGGTAGGAACTGTAATGGGAAATGCAGTCGAACGTGTGGGATAACTGCAATGAACGCAATCGCAGGAGCTGTATCAGTATCTTCGGTAAGAAGAGTATTGTGAACTGTAATGAAATCTGCACTGCTGGCCGTAATTCCACTTCTAGTAAGAGTTGCACTGTGAGTGTTGCTGAAAGCTCTAGTACCGAGCAGCGATTGCGGTAAACGCGCGGCGTTGGCTGGCGCATATGCTCGCGAGCGAAGCGGCCAGCTAGTTTGACACGGCCAACGCGGCCACGGTGGCGCTGATAGCTGGGCACTTTCCAGCGGGCACTTCAGTCCGAGTCGGCGACTTGGGCGGGTGCGGTTTCATGGCGAAGTCGGCAACGGTAGACACGACGATGGTAGTAGCGATGCTGGTGACAATGATGGCAACAACGACGGCAAAGCCAATGACGGCGCCGATGCTGATCACGCCGGCGACGGTGACGGCGTCCTCGCGTCGGTGATGACGGTTTTGGAAGGAGTTCGACATGCGCGCGCGCGGCCGACGCGCAAGTTGCCCGAATGGTGCTATTTGACGCGGGCAAGAGCGCTCGAATGATTTCGGCATGCGCCGTGAGAGGCCCGTTTGGCAAACATTAATGAACACGATGTCTGTTACTTGTTACAATGTTTTCCTCTTAAGAACTCGCAGGAGCGCGAATGCAGGCATTTTCGAAACCTGATGTTGCAAAATCGTGTGTGTTATGAACGCTCGGTTTTGACACCATACGAAGCCGAATGTTCTTGAGAAATTCCCGCAGGCGCGCGCGACGATACGCGCGCGTGCACTTCGTCTGAGATGTGCCAATGGACTCCTGCAGGCAAGCGCGCAACAACTGTTGGGCGATTTCGACACGCGCGCGCGAGAGGCATGTTTGGCAGTATTTGATGAACGTGTCATATAATATACAGATATGACCGATGGTTTCCTTTAGAATTCGCAAGAAGGCGAACGCAAACATAATTTGAAAATCTTCGTTGGGAACCCATTTGTGCTGTATGTATTTCCAGGGCACTCGATTTTGAAATCCGTGCGATCCTTAAAAGTTGTTCGAAAGAATTCGGCATGCGCACGCGACGACGCGCGCGTGTTCACTTCGTCACAGATGCTGCAACATATTTTGGGACATTTATGAGTTTGACACACGGGCGCGCGCGCATAGTATCTTTTTGCAAAAAGGAAGATCGGGGGATTACCGATCTGGCTGGGACGATGGGGTATTCATATTTTGGACGGGCCAAGGCCATGGGGCAGAATCGCATGTCAATTGCAACACGCGAAGGGGACCCGTTAACTCTGGGGGGAAGAGATCTCATTACCCTTGTAGAACAAAGAACTTACGCGTTGTGCAACTTATGTTTGTCCAGTCTATGTGGTGCAAAATTCGTGGTGCAAGCTTTACGGTGTAATATAGGTTGTGCAATCTAGGCTGATGTGGTGCAATCTATGTTGCGCGATCTATGTAGTGCAACCGATGGAGTGCAATCTATGTGGTGCAACTGACTTGCACAGAGAGTTGACATATCCCATGTTCTTGCAAACATCTCACCCACCCACGCGCAACTTGGTTTGCAAAACCCATGCGGTGGTGATTGTGATGAATGCTTGGCGTTGGCTGGTGCGTATCTGCGGCCGCGCTAGCCCGCGCACGCTCGCGCGTACAGCGGCCAGCTCGTTTGGTGCGACCGACGCGGCAGCGGTGGCGCTAACCGCTGGGCGCGGGCACTTCAGTGCGAGTCGGTGACTTGGGCGGTCGCGGTGCCATGGCGACGCCGAGAACGTGAGACACGATACTGAAACTAGCAAAGATGGTGACGACGGTGGCAATGAGGACGGCAAGGCCAATGACGGCGCCGACTTTGATCACGCCCGCCAGTAAAGATGATGACGATGTCCTCGCGTCGGCAATAAGGATTGTTTGAAGGAGTTCGACATACGCGCGCGGCCGGCGCGCACGAGTGGCCCGCGCGGTGTTATTTGACACGGATCGTACTCACCCCCAGCACGCGCGCAAGATCGCTCGAATGAGTTCAACATGCGGCGCGAGAAGCCCTTTTGGCAGCATGTTTAAACCCATGGTTTCCCCTCGGATCCGCAAGACTGCGAGTGCAAGTTTTTCTGATAACTGATGCGGCAAAACCATGTGTTTCATATGTTTTCGGGACACTCATGTTTGAAACCCTTGCGAAACCGGTTGTTTCTGAAAGATGTCGGCATGCGCGCGCAACGACGCTCGTTTTTTGCAAAGTATTATTGCGACAGCACGCGCGCAAGGGCGTTCGAGCGATTTCGACATGCGCACGTGAGAGGCCCGTTTCGGTATAACGTTATGAACATGTTGAAATACTGACTCTTTCCATATAGATTCGCAAGAGCGCGGGGGCAGGCATGTCTTGACAACCTTCGATGCGAAACCATGTTTTTTTATGTTTTCGCTTTGATCTCACGGAACCTTTTGAACGCATAGGGAAAATGATCCAGGAAACATAATCCGATGTAACCTGCAATGAGCGAGGCCGGCCCGATACGTCCAGGGGGGTGATGGGGTAAGAATTCATTTCTTCGAAGACAAGAGAATCTGTGTGGTGAAATTCACCCTGCCGAGTTTCGACTTGTCAACTCCACTGCTCGCGGAATTATCCCGCCCGCCCGCCCGCAACGTAGTCTGTAAAGCCCATGCGACGGCGACTGCGATGACTGCTTGACGCTGGCTGGCGCATCGCCGCGGCCGCGATAGCACGCAGGCTCGCGCGCAGAGCGGCCAGCTAGTCTGACGCGGCCGACGCGGCCGCGGTGGCGCTACCCGCTGGGGGCTTCCCAGCACGTCTCGCAAGTGGCGCTGGCTCGCGGGCACTTCCGTGCGAGTCGGTGACTCGGGCGGGCGCCGTATCGTGTCGACGTCGACAACGGCAGACACGATGATGATAGTAGCGATGCTGGTAGCGATGATGACAATGACGACGACAAGTGCAATGACGGCGCCGACGCTGATCACGCCGGTGACGATGATGGAATCGTCACATCCGTGATGAAGGATGCGATCCAGAATTCGACATGCCCGACGCGCGCGAATGGCCCGCATGGTATGATTTGGCAGGGACCGTGCCCCCACCTCAGCACGCGCGCAAGAATGTTCGAACGATTTCGACATGCGCGCGCGCGCGGGGGGGCCGTGTGGTCGCATTTGCTAGAAATGTTGGAAAACCCATAGTTTTCGCAATAATTCGCAAGAGCGCGAGCGCAGGCTTGATGGAAAGCTCTTATTGCGAACCCATTTGTTTAACATATTTTGGAGGCGCTCGATGTTGAAATCCTTGCAGGACCTTGTTTTTGAAGGATTTTCGCATGCGTGTGCGGCGACGCGCGCATTTGCACTTCGTTCCACTTTGTTGCAAGGGACTCGTGCGACAGATCGGGCGCAAGGGCGTTCGAATCATTTCGACATGCGCCGGCGAGAAGCACATTTGGTAACATGTGATGTGTTGTGTGAAATGCCTACGGTTTTCTTAAGAATTCGCAAGAGCGTGAACGCAGGTTTTTAGGAGCATCCTTGTTGCTAAACCATTCGTGTTTATATGTTTTCGGAACACTCGATATTTGCTTTCGGAACACTCGAGGGCTTGTTATTTCCTTTCTAAGAGCCAAAAACCATTGCATGCGCGCGCAACGATGCGCGCGTGGTGCGTTTTTTTCCAGGGGTTCTTGAAAACTGATAATCTGTGATGCACGAGTGCGCGCGCAGTGCGTTTTTTCCCCCACAGGATGTATGGGGGGTCGATCAATTCAGATTTAGGACGGACGAGTGTGCAGAATCGGATGCGGAAAGAAAACAAGCTGGAGACGCGTTATGTCCGGGGGGGGAGAGGGGCAGATCCTAAGTTCCTTGATCAAACATATGTCTTGTGCGGCGACGAAGCGGCGACGGGGCAGCCGCGGCGACAACGTAGCCGCCAGACCGACAGATAGGCCCAGACGACGGGCGGCGACGGGGCGGCGACGGCGACAACATAGTCGCCAGACTGGCAGACAAGCCCTGAACACAGGCGGCGGCTAGGTGGCGACGGGGCGGCGACGGCGACATCAAAGGAGAAGCAATCAGAACCCCTAAGTGGAAATACTGTTTGGGGAATGTTTATATATATATATATATATATATATATATATATATATATATACGTGTACCTGGTGAATTCCCTATAGGTTTTGAAAGATCTTGGTGTTCTCACATTCGGGCTTCCGATAATCCAGGACGGCCCCAAAGAAAACCCCAAGACGGCCCGAGAGGGTCCCAAAAGGGGCCAAGAGGCCCTAGGATGCCCCGCAGAAGCCCCCCAGAGGCCCCCAAGGAGGCCCCCAGAGGCCTCCAAAAGACCCCAAAAAGACCCCCAAGAGCTTTCCAAGAAGCGCCCAAAACGCAAAACCAACAACACGGACATGGAAGTGAGTTGCCTGACGGGGGCACCCGCATTTTGCGAGTGCTCACAAGAAGAACATCATGTGGAAGAAATTCGCATTCTGCGGGTCGATCAAGTAATTCGGATTCCCATTTGGCTCGAGCGCAACGCGCTCAGCAGCCGCGTACCCGTCGGCCAGCATCTCCTCATCGTACATCAGGCCTCCCTGCAGTTTTCGCTCCAAGTCCTCTGTTTCGGCCTTCATCTTCTCGTATGCTTGCCTGTGCCTAGGCATCGGAGGCTTCTTTGGGTACATCTTGCCGTCCTCATGTTGGACCATCTCCGTGCCGGGCCAGATGAATTGCGGCCAGGCCTCGTGGTAGCCAGCGTCCAGCTCCACAGCCTCGCCCTTCGTGACCTCTCGCACATAGTCGCCCTGAAAATTGCAGACGGCCTGCCTGAGAGGTCGGGCACGGTGCAGGTCCTTCTCCATCATGGAGAAATCTGCGGGCGGGATGGACTCGGGCCAATTGGTGAGCAAAATGTCACCTTCCATATCCATTTCAATGACGTACCAGAAAACGATGGCGGTGATTTTCCCAGATTCTGTCGGAGTGAGCTTGATTGTGTGCATCGCAGGCATTTCGTTCTTCTCAAAATCGAACTTGAAGACCTCAAACGCATTGGTGAGCTGCCTGGCGGCGCCTTTCTCAAGCATTGTGTCCGTGTCCACCATCAAGGAGGTACGATAATGATTGAAAATTGAAAGGTCGAAGCCATGCACGTTATTCAAGTGCTCTCCAAACTCAAATGCTGCAGCCCAGATGGTGGCACGAGCTGGGATCACCTGGTGATCGAAAGCATTCGCCATCTTCACTCTGGCTGCGTTGAGCAGAACGAGGATGCCTTCTCCCAACAATCCTGCATCGAAGAGCTCGCAAATCATCAACTGTGCTCGAGTCGGCTGGCTTGGTAGCTTACGCACGTCCTCATTACAAAAGAAGATATCATTCTGAAGTCCGTTGTCCTTGAACGCCCGTTGTGCAAGGTGCTTGACCTTCTGCATCTGCTCGATGGCGACCACCGTGCAACCGTGAGTTTCTATGTCGTTGTCTGTGACCCCGGCATCTCGGGCGCATTTGGCCGCCACCATGGACATCTGTCCAATGCCAGCGCCGAGGTGGCATATTCTCAGAGGCGGTCGGTCCAGCTTGGGGACATCCTCCCTCTGCTCCATGATTTTCTCGAGCGCTTTCTCTATTGCCTTCTTGAACGCGTCGGTGCGCTGCTCGTCTCGCAGACGTGTGAAACACCATCTCGGACAGGAGATCCGCCGCTCCACCTTCCGAACTTCTGGCGAGATCACCTCGAAACGGACCCTCGATCTGCTATAGGAGGCGCGAATTCGAATCTCGTCTCCTTTGGCAACTGTAATCGGTGCCGCTAGCCATTGCGTAGCATGTCTGTACTGGTCTCCGTTCAATGGAGATGCGCCTCGCGACCTCAACGACATCGGGGTGTGATCCAGCTCCACGTTTGCAGTCAAAGACATCTTGTACCAAAAGCAAACGCAATTCATAATTCCGTCCGCTTCGGCCACGAAATCCAAGTCAGTCTGCCCACTTAGTTTGACCTCGCTCTCGGTGAAATCGAATTCGAACACTTCGTGTACTTGTCCAAGTGGCCTCCAGGGTTCAGCGAGGGTCTCGTCGTCAAGATTTGACACTTCGTAGAAGGCACCCCACCGCGTCAGATCGCCCGCGCTCCAGTCCAGACCAGTCACGCCATCATCGCGAGGGCAGATCATCTCGCAAGGCACGCACTGGATCATGGCTCCTCTGGGCACCATGACGTGGTCCGCCGAGGCCACCTTCCGCTTGATATGGTTGACCTTGGCAAGGACACCCTTACCAAGCAGACCAGGATCGAACAACTCGTAATCTAGCACCACGATGTCGGCCTTGCCGGTCATGTTGTTGATGTCCTCACCGTCTGGGTCGACCACGGCGAGGGCCTGAGACGGCCGGTGGATAAACCTGATCTGCTCCTTCTTGAAGCCGTTCGAGCTCGCTATCGACACGCTCAGGTCAGCGATGTGAAACGCGCGGTGTGCTGTGACGGCAACGATGTCTGCAGTGGGCAAGTATCTCGCGCACGTCATCACTGGTATACCAGTGCCGACGCCCACGAAGAGCCACCGGGCGTCGTTGCCCATCATGTTGTGCTTCACCCTGGGCTTCTCGCCTCGGTTTGTGGCCGACCACTCCCCACGAGCGGGGATGACTTGTAGCTCATGCTGGCCACTGGCCGTTCGCGAGATGGGGGATTCCGAACGCGTGGTAACGTTCGTCGTCCTCCTCCTCACCCATAAGTCGGGAGCGGCCAAGAGGGGGGTGTCCAAGAGGGGGGGGGGGGGGGGCAAATCATGACCAGCAGCATGTGCGCAGCCCAGCGGGGGGCCCCGGGACGTAATGAAATGAGAAGAGGCGCCACGAGATCCGGGGAAATATCATGGCCCCCGCCATGATATCCCCCCCCCCCCCTAGTCATCACCCCCCTCTCTTCCGCCCCTGAATAAGAAGCGCAAGTAACACCACACGGTGTAGCCATATTCTCTTGGAGAGCCGCGCGAATCTCTTGGGTCAGCGCTGGACCCGTCCCCGGCGCGGAGATCGCGAGGGGCGAAGCAGGGGGCGCCGCCATGGGGGAGCCAGCGCCGACGCAGCAGATCCGCGCGGACCTCCGACACGTCATGTCCCAAGAAGCTTGTCTGCAAGGCTTTCGGGAACTCGCTCAGATCTATCAGGCGGATTGAAGAGACGCGGAATCGGTGGGGCGACGTTGCCTCCCGTTGTCTGCCATGGTCTCCCAGCGTATTAGTAGAACCACTGGTTAAGCCTTGGCGATGAGCTTAGGGCTCGTGTATAGGCAAGCTGTATCAGCATGGGCTCCAGTTAGAGTGACACTATTCCCCGCACAGTGCTTGCACTTAGGGGTTCTCACTTCTTTTCTAGGAGACTGGGGCTGCACGTCGGTATGGCGGCTATGTGGTCGCCGTCGCCAACTCGTCGCCGCCCGTCGTCTGGGCCTACCCGTCGGTTTGGCGGCTATGTGGTCGCTATCGCCGCCCCGTCGCTCTGGGCCTGCCCGTCGGACTGGCGGTTATGTGGCCGCCGTCGCCGCCTCGTCGCCGCCGACTTTGCATTGCGTCGCATTGCTTGACATTGCTTTGCCTTGCTTTGCGTTGCTCTGAATTGCTTTGCAAGCCACGTGCATTACACCACATCGATTGCACATCATAGATTAGACCACATGCACTGCACCACATAGCTTACATCACACACATTGCACCACACATAATGCAACACATAGATTGCACAACATAGCTCACATCACATATATTGCGGCACGTATAGTGCACCAAGTAGCTTACATCACGTAGCTCACACCACGTATATCGCACGACATAGATAGCACCACACGTATTGCACCGCACCACTCGCACTACATATATCGCACCACGTAGATGGCACCACATACAATACTAGAACACTGTCTGGGGTCACCGCTGGCTAGCACAGTCTTAGTGCCCGTAGCAGTGCCAATATTCATATGAATAATCAAACCAATGTTCGTAGGAGTATCAATATTGCCAATGACATTATCACTCGCGTTTGCAATAGCAACCGTACTACAATCAGGTGAATATTGTTGGTGCTGAATGTTGTGATCGCATGTGAACATCTCGGAAGCGCACGCGCACGTGCACGCACACGCACGCGTTTCCCAACCATCCTGCGGTGGTGGGCCCACGTGTTGAAGAGACGCGCCCCGCGTTCTCACCTTCCTCCTTTCTCCCACTGCCCCCTCCTCCAATCATCATCATCATCATCATCATCATCATCATCATCATCATCATCATCATCATCATCATCATCATCATCATCATCATCATCATCATCATCATCATCGCCACAATCGTCATCATCATCGCCGTCATCATCACCATCATCGCCATCAGCTTCGGCACACCCCCCACAGGTTTCGTGGTCCAATAGGAGTTCCACCCAAGGTCCCAGTGGCGCAACCCGCATGTGGGCGTCAGCCTCATGTCGGCACACCCCTCACACGCTTCGTGGCCCCATAGGCAGGTCCACCTACGGCCCCACTGGCGCCGCCCGCATGTGGGCGTCGCCCCCGTTTCGGCACACCCCGCACACGCTTCGTGGCGCCATTGGGGAGCTCCGCCTAAGGTCCCACGGGCGCAGCCCGCATGTGGGCGCCACCCCCTTTCGGCACAACTCTCACACGCTTCGCACTCCTGGGGGGGCTCCACCTAGGGCCCCACCGCCGCAGCCCGCTTGTGGGCGCCACCCCCTTTTCGGCACACCCCTCACGCGTGTCGTGGCGCGCTTTGCACTTTGCTTCGCCCCGCTTTGCACCTCGGTACCAACAACTCCCCGCTCTTCCTTGCCATGGCCGGCCACGAGCGCGGCGACCCACGGGCGCGCCGAGGAGCTCACGGCAGGACCAGCGAGATGATCAGACCAGCAGCGCGAGAGCGACGGCAGATGCCACGAAACGAAGCGTCGAGCGGCGAAGACGAAAAGGGGCCCCTCACGCGAGCAGACATGGAGACCCCGCGCGACGGGCAGCGCAGGCCGCCGGCGGGCACGGGCCCTGGACCCCGGGGTGCTCCCCGGATTGGCCTGCCGTCCCGAGCCGTCCTCTGTGGCGGCGCCCAGGGGAGGGGGACCCGGGCTGGCCCAGGAGGCCGGTCGAGAGGTGGCTGAGAGGAGTACCAGCAGCAGGATGAGGAAGAGCACGGGGGAGCGCGAGGAGCAGGAGGGGGGGGGAGACGAGGAGGAGGAGCTAGGGGGAGGGCCAGGAAGAGAAGGATCAGGGGGGACGGAGAACTTATCGAACCCGCCACAGGCGAGCGGGCGCCTAACCCAGGGAGATGCTCCCAAATTGCACTCGGCAGGAAGGGATCAGGAGGAGGATGAGGACCAGGAGGACAAAGAGTGACAAGATGAGGTATCGTGACAGGCGCAGTGGGAGGAGCAGGAGGATAACCAGGCGGGCGAAACATTGAAGGAGAGTAGGAGGAGGACAAGAGGCGGGACCAGGCCGTCCACGGTGACAGTGCAACCGAAAGCCGACCGAGCCGACAACGAAACCGAAACAACGACGAAACCTGAAACCGAAACAACGACGAAACCTACCCGAATTGACTGACCGCAAGCAACCTAAAAGGCGCGGCGACGCAGCAACGACACGACAACCGACCCAACAGAACCGAGCCAAGGGCAACCGACAGCGACGCGACCGAACCAACCGAACCGCGGACACCCGGGCAGGAGGAGGAGGAGGTGGAGGACAGAGACCCAGACAGCCCAGACATCCGGGGGCTCCAGAAAGCCAAGCATCCAAGACAGCCCAGAACACCAAAACAGCCCAGACATCCGGGGACAGCACATCCGGAGACAGCCTGGACATCCAAGACATCCAAGACCGGAGAGCCCAAAAAGCCAAGACAGCCCAGAGGCCAAGACAACCTAGACGTCCGAGGACAGAGGCCAAGACATCCCAAGGCCGGCTTTTCATCCCCTGTAGGTTTTTGACGGTCCCGGGGCCCGGCGATGGCTCCCGGAAGCTGGAAACGGCCAACAACCTCCCGTGGCGAGTTGTCACGGCGCGGGCATGTCTGGACATGATGATGGGGAAGAGGAGGACGAGAAGATGGAGGGGGGGCAGAGCGGATGAGGAGCACACATGGGGGAGAAGTCGAAGAAGAAACAACTACAACTTTCGGAGGTCCGCGCGGACTTCTGGGATCTGCGCTGGACCCCCCCCCCTGGCGCGCAGAGCGCGCCACGGGCGGCTGTGGAAGCGCCGCTAGGGGGGCCCAGCGCCGATCCGAGAAATCCGCGCGGGGCTCCGAAAGTGTATGTTTGTGCAGTTTCTTCTTCTTCTTCTTCTTCGAAGGAGGGTGGCGAGGCAGAGGGAGGAGGGAGGAGGGAGGGAGGAAGAGGGAGGAGGGAGGAGGGAGGAGGGAGGAGGGAGGAGGAGGGAGGAGGAGGGCGGAGGGAGGGAGGCGGAGGCCGAGAAGGGTGACGACGAGCGACGAGCGTGAAGGGCCCTGGGCCGCGCGCCCTCGGGGCCCAGGAGCTGGCCGACGAGGTCGCGAACGGCCTCGGCGTAGGCGCCTATCGCCGACGCGCGCTGGTCGAGCATGCTCAGTAGCTCGTCGGCGTACGCGACGTCCGACTGCCTCTCCAGGAACAGGGCGATGGCCTCGAGAAGGAGGCGGGCAAGGGCAACACATCATTTGACGGAGCGATGAAAGATGGGGCTATTTCCTTTTTTTGCATAAAGAACCGCTTTATGTGTGACTACGCTGTTGCCTCGCCTTACCGTCTCTCTCTCTCTCTCTTTCTCTCTCTCTCTCACACACCGTCTCGCTATCGCTTCCCTCTGTCGTTCCTTTTTCTGCCGCACGTTGTTGCAAAACCGAGCTCCATATTCGAACCACATAAGAAATGCCAAGACCACAAAACAACACAACAACAAAACGCATACATCGACATCAACGAATGCTCGCCCGCGTGGGCTCACAATAATTTGTTTATAGCAATAAACGTCAGGCTATTTATGTGGGGCAGCAAATGTGGTGCAACCTACGTTACGTATTGTGCAACAGATGCTGTGCAATCAACGTGGTGCACACTTCATGTTTGTTCGCAATGAAGAATCAATCCCACTGCTCGCGCAATCATCCGACACACCCACCCGCAACTTGTTCTGCAATACCCATGCGGCGTCGACTGCGATAACTGATTGGCGCTGGCTGGCGCGTCGCTGCGGCCGCGCTTGCGCGCACAAGCTGGCGCGCAAAACGGCCAACTAGTCTGACGTAGCCGGCGGGCCGCGGTGGTGCTGACCGCTAACGCGTCTCGCAAGCCGCGCTGACGCGCGGGCATGTCCGTGCGAGTCGGTGGCTCGGGGGCGGTATCATGGCGACGTCGACGACGGCAGACACGATGATAACAAAAGCGGTGCTGGTGGCGACGGTGACGATGACGGCGGCAAGGCCAATGACGGCGGTGGTGCTGATCACGCCGATGACGATCATGGTGCCCACGCGTCGGAGATATAGCTTTTGGAAAGATTTCGACATGTGCGCGCGGCCGTCGGGCACGAGTGGCCCGCGTGGCGTTGCTTGACAAGGATGGTACCCCCCCAGCACGCGCGCAAAGGCGCTCAAATGATTGCGACATGCGCGCGTGAGAGGCGCGCTTGGTCGCATGTGATGAAGACGTTGCAAACTTGATGGCTTTCTTAAGAATCCATGAGACCGCGCGCGCTACATTTTTGATGCAGCTGTATGTTGTAAATGCATGTGTCTTTCACGGTTCCTGGGGCACTCGAGTATGGTATATGTGCGACGAATCTGCTTTCCGAACGGTTTCCGCACGCGCGCGACGACGCGCGCGTGTGTCCTCCGTCAATTCGGGTGCAAAGTATTCTCGGACAAATATTGATGTTTGATAAACGGGTGCGCGCATACCATTATTTGATACAAGGATGGGGGGGGCAATGCCGGCTTGACTGGGATAGTATGAACCCTTTACTCGAACAAACGATGCGGCAGAATCGTATGTAAACTGCGCGTCCCCAAGGGGCGGACAACCCAATGGGGGTAGATCCTTGTTCCTCGTTGGAGAAGAGTATGTACGTGGTGCAACCTATGGTGTCCATTCCACTGCTCGTACAACCATCCCACCCACCCACCCGCAACTTGGTTTGCAAGACCCACGCGGCGGCGATTGCGATGAGTGCTTGGCGTTGGCTGGCGCATCTGTGAGGCCGCGCTAGCCCGCGCATGCTCGCACGCGAAGCGGCAAGCTAGTTTGGCGCGACCGACGCAGCCGCGGTGGCGCTGACCGCTGGGCACTTCCCAGCGGGCACGTCAGTGCGAGTCGGCGACGTGGGCGGGCAGGGTATCATGGCACCGTCGACAACGGTAGATAAGATGATGGTAGCAACAATGCTGGTGACGATGATGAGAACGACGACGGCAAGGCCAATGACGGCGCCGATGCTGATTACGCCGACGACGATGACGGCGCCCTCGCGTCGGTGAAGAAGGTTTTGGGAAGAGTTTGACATGCGCGCCCGGCCGACGTGCGAGAGTGGCCCGCATGGTGTTTTTGACACAAATCGTGCCACCCCCCCAGCACGAGCGTAAGGGCGTTCGAATGATGCCGACATGCGGCGCGCGAAGCCCGTTTGGCCAAATTGAATAAACATGTTTAAAAAAACGATGGTTGCCTTAAGAGTTCGCCGGAGCGCGAGCGCAATCATCTTTGATAATTTGTGTTGCAAAACCACAAGTGCTTGCATTGATGTGTGTACGGGGCCGTCGATGTTGAAATCCCTACGGCACCTAAGGTTTCCGATGGGTTTCGGAATGCGCGCGCGACGACGCGCGTGTGCACTTTGCTCCGTTTGTTGCAAGGGGATTCTTGCGGCAGCACGAGCGCAAATGCGTTCGAGTGGTTTCGATATGCGGCGCGCGAAGCCCGTTTAGAAACATTTGGTGCACATGCTGAAAGCCAATGGTTTAATTGAGAATGCGCAAGAGCGCAGGCGCAGGTTTTTGTGTAAAGGAATGTTGTTGCGACCCCCACATTGTTTATATGTTTCCGTGACACTCGATTTTGATTTCCTCGCGACATAACGTTTTGAAGGATTTCGGCATGCGCGCGCGACGACGCGCGCGTGTGCACTTCGCTATTTGTTTGCAAGAGGTTCATGGCAAATGCTGATTTTTGATGAGCGAGCGCGCGCAAATAGCATTTTCTGCAAAGGATAAAAAAGGGACGATAAAAAATTAGTTGGGGTAGTACGAACTCATTATTCGGGTGGGCGATGGGGCAATATCGTAAGTAAGTTGCAGAGCGAACAAAGGGGTACCGTTAAGCCTGGGGGGGGGATCCTATTACCTTTTTTAGCAAAGAGTATCGAGGTGGCGGCTGGGCGGTGGCGACGGTGACAAGCCCAAACGGGGCAGCGACGGCGACGAGGCCCAGGCCCAGACGACAGGCGGCGACGAGGCGGCGACAGGGCGGCGACGTCGACAACATAACCGCCAAAGCGGCACACCGGCCTAGACGGGCGGCGGCGAAGCCGAGACGGGGCGGCGACGGCGACTGCAAAGCCGCCCGAGAGGCACGCTGGCCCAGACGACGGGCGGGGACGAGGTGGCGACGGGGCGGCGACGGGGCGGCGACGGCGACTACTTAGCCGCCAGAGCGGAACAACGGCTCAGATGACGGGCGGCGACGTGGCGGCGACGGCGATTACATAGCCGTCAGAGTGGCACAACAACCCAATTCCTTAGATTAGAAATGATATACCCGAAGTGCAAACACTCTTTAAGGACTTGGGCCAAGGCTGTGTTCTGAAAGGGTTCACCTGTTTCTAGCCAAATAAAACAACTTCATCGTACCAAACATATAGTTGCCGTTGTTTTTCTTGGACTGGCTGAAATCCTCAGTGAGCCCTGCGCAGGCACAGGGACTCAATATGGCACACTTATAACAACCCGGCAAAAGACATCACATGCTTTTACAACAGAACCATGCGCTTGCTTGTCGACAACATGAGAAACATGCACGAACACAATGTTCAAACAATGTTACGACTGCTTTAGATGTATAAACTACTGTTACGGAAACATGGTGTTCGAGACCTTTGAAGTTTGACATCTGGAGCCCCTCGAGTCCAAGAACTCAGAAAAAAAGGCAAACAGGAGAAACACGTCGCAGAACGGCGGGGACACTGCGCTTTCATAAAGATCACCTGTTCCTAACCTTTTCTATAAAAAACGAGCTTCACTGTAAATGTATCTGGCGTTTTTCACTTCGACTAGCGCTTAGCCAAAGCAAGCATCTGAAACCTCAGTGACTCCTAGAAAGGCACAAGGGTCACCTGGTCTCAGAACTTTTTGTTTACATGGGCATCAGTGCAAACAATATGTCACTATTTAGGAAACAACTACTGGGAGGTTTTCGTCGGAAAGATCAAAGAAAATTAAAACCTATTTGGGAACTGTTACGCCGGAGTGGGCCTCGGATTAGGCGGGATTAAGCCGGATTAGGCGGGATTAAGCGGGATTAAACGGGATTAAGCCAGATTAGGCCGGATTTCGGACCAGGGCAAAATCAGAATTGGACCTCCCAGGAGTTGCATCCGAATCATCATGAAAACCACGTGTTTGTTTTAGAAGATCTGTCACGTTGTTTGATTGCTTTGTTTTGTTTGTGTTATTTTGTATTTGATTTTTGCTGTTGTCACTCGGCCCTGGCAGTTTCGAGCATCTGACCCCCGACCAAACATTACAAGACACCAAAGCAACACACCAAGCAACGACAAACAACACACATAACATTACAAACAATCATACGCTTCCGAAGCAAATATATTTTCACCAAGTTCGCCTGCTTCCAACATGACAGGCAAAAGGGAGCACCGTAAAACATATGATTGGCTACGAATTGTATTTGCTCTCTCCGGTCTTAAACCACAGCGGTCCCTGCGCAGGCACGGGGATCATTTGGTCGCAAAACGGGCTGTGATTCAAACCACAGTAACCAATTGACACCATATGTTTTTAGAGCAAATCCATTCTTTCTTTATGTCGGACACACGTGACACCTGTAACCCACGCGGTGTTCCAGGAATTGTATGATTGCTTGTTCGGTCTTCCTGTTAAATTTAGAAAATCGGAAACACCTGGCAACAGATCCAAGGCCGGCCGATGGAACACGCTACAACGGAATGTGTTACGTAAGGCCGCCAAAAAAATCCTTGTGTAAGGCCGCCGCAAACTTATTCCGATTGTAAGGCTTTACCAATTCCGACACACAACTACCGCGTGATACATATTCCGCTAGCGAATTCAACCATCATTGTCCTGCAGAACTTGTTGCCTTCGGACCAATTCATGGCAGCTCTGGGTTGGACCCTTACACGTCGGCCCCTGTTAAAACAAGTCTATGTGTTCAGCGCTATGTGCAGTGTCTGGCTTACCCTCAGCAAATGTTCGGTCGCCGCCTTTCACATCACAGCTACAAGTAACACGGTGATTGCTACAAGTGGCAACACATCTAGTACTCCTCCAACTGTTACTTTCGCGAATAAGCGTGTTACTGCTGTAAATACTTCCACCACCACTTCCATCACCACCGCTACTACCATTTCCCCTTCACCACCACCACCGTGCCTGGGTCAGGGCGTGGTGGTGGCAGTTGTGGTGGTGGTTATGCTTATGCTACGCCTTCGATTTATCCTCCTCACGTGCCAAACAACTACGGGCCAATTGAACCGTGCTTCTGAAGTGTACGGAGCACTTTTTGGATCGTGCCAAAACTACAGAAAACATTGGTTTCAGGAGAGGGTACGGATGCTGTGATTTGGTGCGTTGTCCGCGGATGATCAGCGAAACAGAATTTGGGGAAACAGTAGTCAATTGGCTTGGAGAAGGCTTTTGTGAAAAAATGCAAGCATCAATTTTCACCGCACTACAAGCAGCAGGGCTAAGACGAAATCACAGCTGTCCGATGTATGTACCACCAGCAGCAAGCTTACGTTCAGGTGGACCAGCCCACCTGCAGCTGGTACTTCGACATCATGCGCGGCGCCAGGCAAGGCGATCCAATGTCACCGGCGCTTTGCACAAACACAATGCGCAATGCCATGATGAAGCTGCAAGGATAATGGGAGGCATAATGATATGGGTGTTGTTGGGAGCAACTGCGTGGGAAAAACGGCCGCATTACATACGCCATGTTCGCAGACGGCACTATTCGTACTGCACAGTCCAAGCGAGCGCTGTCAATCATGATGCGGGATATCCGGGAGGAGTTGGCCAACATTGGCTTGATCTTGAATGAAGAAAAGTGCAGCATGTAGTGCGTGGGATGGAGCACGGTTCCAGGTCGAACAAACTAACTTGGGGAGCAAAGAGCATCAAGATGTCGACTGCACGGCGGGATTCCAAATTTCGGGGGCCATGATCAAAATGAGTTGGAGTACGTTAGCGAAGTTTGAAGCACGATTGAAGGCAGGTTCGGGGAAGTTTTCCAGCTTATCCGAGCTGGTAGTAGTAGTCGTAGAAGTAGTAGTAGTAGTAGTAGTAGTAGTAGTGGTAGTAGTAATAGTAGTAGTAGTAGTAGTAGTAGTAGTAGTAGTAGTAGTAGAAGCAGCACTAGTTGTAGTAGTAGTAGTAGTAGTAGTAGTAGTGGTAGTAGTAGTAGTAGTAGTAGTAGTAGTGGTAATAGTAGTAGAAGCAATCGTAGTAGTAGTTGTAGTAGTAGTAGTAGTAGTAGTCGTAGTAGCCGTAGTAGTCGTAGTAGTAGTAGTAGTAGTAGTAGTCGTAGTAGTAGTAGTAGTAGTAGTAGTCGGAGTCGTAGTCGTAGTAGTAACGGGATTAACAGTACTGGTGCTAGCAGTAGTAGTAGTAGTAGTAGTAGTCGTAGTAATAGTAGTAGTAGTAGTAGTAGTAGTAGTAATAGTAGTAGTGTTAGTAGTAGTAGTGGTAGTAGTAGTAGTAGTGGTGGTAGTAGTAGTAGTAGTGATAGTAGTAGTAGTAGTCGTAGTAGTAGTCGTAGTAGTAGTAGTAGTTGTTGTTGTAGTAGTGATGGTAATCATAGTAGACGCAGTAGTAGTAGTCGTAGTAGTCGTAGTAGCAGTAGTAGTAGTAGTAGTCGTAGTAGTAGTAGTAGTAGTAGTAGCAACTAGTGGTAGTAGTAGTAGTAGTAGTAGTAGTAGTAGTTGTAGTAGTAGTAGTAGTAGTAGTAGTGGTAGTAGTAGTAGTAGTAGAGGTGGTAGTGGTAGTAGTCGTAGTCGAAGTCGTAGTAGTAGTAGTAGTAGTAGTAGTAGTAGTAGTAGTGGTAGTAGTAGTAGTAGTCGTCGCAGTAGTAGTAGTAGCAGTAGCAGTAGTAGTAGTAGTAGTAGTAATAATAATAATACTAGTAGTAGTAGTAGTAGTAGTAGTAGTAGTAGTAGTAGTAGTAGTAGTAGTAGTAGTCGTAGTAGCAACAGTAGTAGTAGTGGTGGTAGAAGAAGAAGAAGTAGTAGTTGTGGTAGTAGTCGTAGTAGTAGTAGTAGTGGTAGTAGTAGTAGTAGTAGCAGTAGTAGTAGCAGTAGTAGTAGTAGTGGTAGTGGTAGTGGTAGTAGTATTAGTAGTAGTAGTAGTAGTAGTAGTAGTAGTAGTAGTAGTAGTAGTAGTAGTAGTAATGCTAGTAGCCGCAATCAGTAGAGACGTCGTAAGGTTAACGTGTGAGTGCTGGGGTAGTTTCAATGATAGTAGTGGTCGCAGCGGGAGGATGCCAAGCATGAGTGCCTGACGGAGTGAGGCATGCGCAGGAGAAGCAGGACCGCTACGACACCCACTCATTAACACAGACAAAAAGGAAGTGGAAAACATAATCCGTGCTCAAGAGAATCCGGCTGGATGTGAACAATACGACGCTTGACATTCAACAGGAATTGCGAAGAACTTAGGTTCAGGGGGGTCCCATTGGATTTGGCAACGAGCCCAACATACTACAACAGGATTAGAACCTACCCAGGATTCAGATGATGCTAAATGGATTCGAATACGCATTCACCATGGGTTGAATCTGATTTGAAGAGAAGCATCCACAAGGAATTCAATTGGGATCGAGCTGACTTCTAAACCAGACGGTTTCGAATGGACTTGCACAGGAGCCCAATGGGAAGTCAGCAAGAATGGAGCAACAGCCCGATTTAGAGAACTTCACATGACATCGACTGGGAACCCACATAAGAGTTCAATGGGGATGGACGGAGGCCTAACATTCAGAATCTGAAAAGTTGATTCGAGTCGGAACCCCATGGACAGTTAATGGGGTTAGAGCAAAAACCATATGCAACGGATGTCGATCGAACTTGAATTGGACCTCATTTAGATTTCAATGAAAGCGTTAAATAATAAGTCGTTAAGATAACCGTTCGAAAAGGAACCAATGAACATGCAAGAAAAACACATCGTCAACGAGAAGCATATTCCCTCTACGCGGGGATGCGAAGGGGGCGGACGGTGGTATACACTCTTCTCGATGTGTGCTCGTCATCCTTTCGATGGGGCCAGGCGAATCTTCTCGAGGTTCGGGGGGGCGGGGGCGGAGGGGGGTGGTTGGTGGAGCTGGTGAGTATGAGGCGGAGTGGGGAGGATGTGGATGGGGATGGAGGAGGAGAAGGAGGATGAGAAGAAGGAGGAGGGAAAGGAGGAGGAGGCGGCGGAGGAGAAGGAGGAGGAGGTGGCACGAGGCGGAGGAGGAGGAGGAGGAGGAGGAAGTCAACGAAGACGAGGAAGGGAAGGGGATGAGGCTGCTGTACAAGGAGCAATAGCAGCAGCAAGCGACATAATGCGAGGAGCAGGGGGCGGAGAGGAGATTTTGAGGACGAGAGGAGGAGAAGCAACCCGCAGAGAGCTGCTGACCAGGACGACGACACCCACGACGGCCAAACAAAAAAACACGACAACGACCACGGAGGTAACGACAACGATCACAAAGAGGATCACGATAACCAGCAACAACCCGACGACGAAGACGGCGGCGACGACGATGACGAACGACGACGACGATTACGAGGCAGAGGATGAGGAGGAGAAGGAGGAGGACGAGGAGGACGAGGAGAACGACCGACGACCGTCGACCGACGACGACCGACGACGACGACGACGACGATCGACGACCGATCACCGACGCCTGACGATCGACGACGACCGACGACAAACGACGACAAGGCCGAGGACGAGGACAAAGACGAGGACGACGTCTGACGGCAACCGACCGCGACGGCCACCAACGACGCCGTGCAGCGCGGCAGCCTGCGCCTGCTGCGAGTCGCTGTAGTCGGTCCGGCTCGGCGCGGGCTTCGCGTCCAGCCTCTCCGCTCGCGGCAGGGGGGCGGGGGGCCCCGACGAGGCGAAGGGCCCCGCTAGCTCCCGCACCTCCCTGGCGCTCCTGCTGTAGACTTCCCCGTCGAGGGTTAGGTCGGGCGTGTCCCCCTACAGGCGGATTTTGGACGAAAAATTAAGAATACTCTCAAAAAATCAAGAATGCTCAACAATACATAAAAATCGTCCCCTGACTATTTTTTGTCTATTTTTGAATTTTCCCCCTGTAGAGGGACAGGCCCGACTTAAGTCGAGGGGAAGGAAGGGAAGGAGGAGAACTTAGGGGAGGGGGAAGGGAAGGAGGTGGAGGAGGCGGAGGAGGAGGCGGAGGCGATGCCGGAGGAGGAGGGGGAGGAGGAGGAGGCGGAGGAGGCGGAGAAGGAGGAGGAGGAGGAAGAGGGGAAGGGGGAGGAGGAGCGGCGCTTCTGGGACGTGCTCGGTGCCCTCTGTAGGCCTCTGATGCTCCTCCTGCTCCTGCCCCTCCGATGCTCCTTCTTCGGGCGTTGGCAGAACTGGGTTTCGTGGAACCTGGTTTAACGACTCGTACCGGGGGCGCCCCCACGTCCCATTTCCACTAACTGGAGCTGCCGTCACTCGAAAAACACCAGTTACGGCAAACCTGGTTTAGGGAATCTGGCCAACTGAAGGGCCCCAGGGCCCTACCGCTAACCGGGTCCCCTTACCCGGAGTCCTGGCTATACCCGCCTTCTGCCTGCCGGTCGCCCTCGTCCTCGTCCTCCGCCCGAATGGCCAGGAACGGCCGGCGGGTCGGACGTGGAAGTCGTCGGAGACGAAGTCTGCGGCGGGGAAAACTTCCCGAGACGGCGCACCGGACCTCAAACATTTTTGTTTGATCTGCGGGTCGAGAGCGAACCTCTTCCGATAGAAGCTGAACGGGCCGCGCACAGCTTGAATTAGCAGAGGGAGGGCAAAAGAAGGCGGGGCCTCACGTCAAGGCCGAGAGAGGGCGAAGCCCTGGGATCAGGCGGTGCCGAAGTCGCAACTGGACCTCAAACAAGGAACAACGGAAAAAGGCCCCTTAAGAGAAGGGGGCGAAGCGTAGAGCCACGACCCTAGCGATATCCCAGAACAGCGCACACGGACAGACAACCCCAAAGCCGCTGTTTGGGGCAGTTCCTACTCCACTTCAACCACCCTCCGCGACCAGGCCAGCCCGTCGCTCCACCCCCTCTCCGTTCGAGGAACCGCCCCCCCCCCGCGAAGGGGATTGGGGGGAGCAGGCAGCCAGAGGAGTCCTGTGCTGGGCGCAATGAGTTTGCTCCCCCCAGATGGTCACTAAAGAAGGCCACCGGCGCAGGGGCCATCGGCCCAGAAGCGCGGCAAAACGAACGCCCACGACGGACTGTCTGCAACGCTGTAACCAGGGAAGGGAAGCTGCGGGGCTAGCGCAGGTCGCTGCACGTGGTGCCACAACTCACTCTTTTGCGTGTCATCAATGCGCAGGGGCCAGACTAATCGATTGAGACACGCAGGCACACACTAAATCTCAAATCATATGTTGGGTAATCCGTCGTTGGTTTTCCAGTGCGCTCGTCGATGCTCGCACCTGATTCTCCACACTGCCACATCCGACACCATAGGGTCCATACTGGGCTTCAGAACGGAATCACCTAAAGACTTAGACACCAGAAGCCGGGTCGCCTGGACCATGGGCACCCCCAGCCTGCCCCCCGGATGTGGCCGAGAGGGAAAGAGCGGGAGCTCCAACCGCCCTCTCTGGCATGGGATCCGGGGAGGTTTGAGCAGTCCCGCCCCCGCACACACAATAAGACCAGGAGAGGGAACGATCACAATGTGGCACTACCCGCCAGCACCCGAACATACGGCACAAGTCCCCCTCCCAGAGCATTACCAATTAGGGGCGCCCTCCTGGGGAGGGAGTAAGTTAGCCGTACCCTCAGGGGGGATACGTTGCCCCTGAAGCGGCCGCTCAGCCGAGCGGGGGCCGTATCAGGCCGTGGCCAGGCGAGGGGCGCGACCCCAAGGATCCGCAAGCGGACGCACGGGGTTGCACCGTTCCCACTGCCCGCAGCGAGGGACGGCCCTCGACTTGGACTCATGACCGTGAGAACCTCTGACAAGCTGAGCCTCGTGGAGGCCTCTGCCCTATGCGTCAGGCCCCCTTGCGTCGCTGAACAATCACGTCGGAAACTGCCTGTTGGTCCTCCTCCGCCTCTGGGGTCCCTGATCCGGCCCCCTGGGCGTCGGAAAACCTCGGGGTGAAAACCAGCTCGGGGAAGGAGCCGAGGCCTCCAGGAGTCCGCGCTTCGAGAAGTGATTCTCTGGTCAAGGAGGGCCCAACCATATGCAAGGGTGGGTGCCGCAAGGCAGGTGGGAAGAAGCGAGGGGAAGCGCCCTGTGGGGCCGCGAAACGCGTAAGGGGCGTGCCCACATGAGCAAGGACACGTGACGCATGCGGGCCCTGCCACAAAACCCTTCGGTGGAGCTCCCTGTGGAGCCACAAAGCGTGTGAGGGATGTGCCCACATGAAAAGCGGAAACTCATGCGAACCATGCCGCTGGGGCATTCGGCGGAGCTCCCTCTGGCGCCACGAAGCGTTTGAAGGGCGTGCCGAAATGACTGGCGAAAGCTCATGCAACCCCTGCCACTGGGGCCTTCGGTGGACCTCACTATGGGCCACGAAGCGTGTGAGGGGCGTGCCGAAATGAGAGGCGGGAGCTCATGCGAACCCTGCCACTGGGGCCTTCTGTGGAGCTCCCTCTGGTGCCACGAGCCGTGTGAAGGGTGCGCCGACATGAAAGGCGGGAGCTCGTGTGAATTCTTCCACTGGGGCCTTTGATGGAGCTCCCTGTGGGGCCACGAAACGTGTGAGGGATGTGCCCACATGGGTGCGGTGGCGCCATGCGAACCCTCCCACTATGGCCTTTGGTGGAGCTCCTTATGGGGTCACAGGACGTTTGAGGGGGATGCCGAAATGGGCGCGGTGGTGCCGTGCGAACCATCCCACTGGGGCTGTGGCCTTCAGTTGAGCTCCCTATGGAGCAACGAGATGTGTGAAGGGTGTACGGACATGTGACTGATGATGGTGGTAGTGCTCATGCTGATGCGGATCAGAATGGTTCTTATGCTGATTCGGGTGGAGATGTTGATGATGAGGAAGATGGTGGTGGTGGTGGTGGTGGTGATGTAGATGATGACGGTGATGATGATGCTGCTGATGATGATGAACATCATCATTCTGATGATGGTGATGATGATGATGGTGATGATGGTGGTGATGACGATGATGATGATGGTGGGGATGAGGATGATGACACTGGTGGTGGTGGTGATGCAAATCTTGACAACTCTGATGGTGCTGGTGGAAAGGCTAATGACGATGCTGCTGAACACGATGATGACGACGATGATGATGGTGATGATGATGGTGCTGGTGATGAAACTGATGACGCTGATGATGCTGATGATGCTGATGATGATGATGATGGTGATGGTGGTGATGGCGATGATGATGACGTGGATGACGAGGATGACAAGGAGGAGGAGGTGGAGGAGGAGGAGAAGTGAGAATGAGGAAGAGAGGAAGTGAGGAACAGTGACGCGGGGCGTTGCTGACTCAAAACGAGGGCCCACCAGCACATAATGGTTGGGAGCAGAGCACATCGGACCCTGGACTCACCGAGAAGGAGGGGAGGAGGAGGAGGAGGAGGAGGAGGAGGAGGAGGAGGAGCAGCAGCAGCAGAAACAAGGGAAGAGAGGAGGCGAGGATCCACATCCAATTGAGTTGTTGATGCCTTGTTGGCTTTCCAGAGACCTCTCTCCTCCTCCTCCTCCTCTTCCTCCTCGTCCTCCTCCTCCTCCTCCCCCCCCCCCTCCAAAGCCTCCCTTTCCCGATCCTGTTGCCCCCGCCTGCCCGTACCTCCGACGGAACGGTCTCCTCACATCCGACCTCCCACGACCGTGGGCCTTCGGCACCGCCCGTGGTGCAGATTTGTTGTTCCATGGCCGTAGGGCTCAAATAGGGCTTCCAATGCCCAGCGCACAGCAAACCATATCTTCGCGTTTTTACTTGACGGCGGAAGTGGGCTGGATCCTCCTCGTCCTCGTCGTCCTCCTCGCCCTTGTCCTCCTCTTCCTCCTCGTCCTCTTCCTCCTCCTCCTCCTTCTCGTCCTTATCCTTGTCCTCCCCCTCCTTCTGCTCGAGGCTCCTCCTCCACCTTCTTCTCATCCTCCTCCTCCTCGTCCTCCGTCCCCCTCCTCCTCCTCCTCCTCCTCCTCCTCCTCCTCCTCTTCCTCCAGTCCTCCTCGTCCTCCCCCCCCTCCCCTTCCTCCCCTTCCTCCTCCTCGAGCGAGGCTGAGGCGACCAAGTCTGGATCTACCGAGCCGATGGGCGGGCGACCTGATGCCGCGCCAGATGGAGGAGAGCGGCCAGGCTCCTCTGCGTGAGTGGCTCGCCTGAAGTACGACTTGCATTATGTAAGGAGTGCGCGAGGGCTGAGACCGACAGAATATTGCGAGATGGGTTCAAGAGTCCAAGGCGCTGGAGGGGGCACTGCGGGAGCTGGGGGCGAGTCAAGGTGGAGAGGAGACGCAGAAAGTGAGGACAAGACCAGATATGAGCAAAAGAATGCTGGACAGCACATCCGAGAGGGCATCGCTCCTGTGCCTGAAAATTTGAGGCCGTGATCCACCCACCCAATCTTAATTATGCTGATTCGCCAAAGAGGGAAGGAGAAGGAAGACGGGGGAACGGACATCTAACCAGGGGATGTGGGCAATACTTGGAGCCGAGTTTAGGAACCATATCACGAGCCTGCTGATGAAGAGGTCCTGGAGGGTGTCAGGGAAGACGAGAGAGTGGAGAGTTTGGGAAAGATGACGCTGAGGATGTAGAGCTTGGACAGTAATATGAGGTTTGGCATGTTGATGACGTTTAAGTTGTTGGAGAGCGCGAGGGCCATAGGAGCGTAGACGCGTGGCCTGGAGGAAGCCTTTACTCGCCTGGTATAGGGTCGAGGCAATGGCGGGCGATTGCCGCCACCGCGGCCACGCCTGCTGGCGTCGGACTCCGTCGGCCCACGTCCGACACGAGACCGGCTGAACGAGCGGGAGCGTGTCGCGAGCACCATCGGATAACATCTCAAGAATGGGGGGCCACGTATCGAACGTGAAGAGACTTGCCCGCATGATCTGAGCAACGCTGGTAAGTCGAACGCTCTGGATACGAGGGCCCCCCAAACGATGTGCATTGGGCCACCCCTCCTCGTTCACCCTGAAACAAGGCATCAGGAAGAGGGAGGCCAACAGAGCGCGCTCGCGCTTGCAGCGGTGGGGGAGGAGCAACTGGAAGCGACCGGCATAGGAGGGGACAGGGAGGGCACGACGCACATGCACGTTGGCAGCCAGCTCTAAGGGTGCGCCCAAATCTCCAACCGCGCGGGCACGGCTGCAGCATTTCTTGAAAGGGCCCCCCCACCCACGAGGTCTCTCGAGTCACCGCGGGGCCCAGCCAGAGGCCAAGGTAGAGGGCGTCGGGGGCGATTTCACAGGCTTCCCACTGTCTGACGTATTTCCTGACTTCGGCTGTATGCCGGGCGGCCAGGAGTTCGCTGAATTCATCAGCGAGAGGGACAGCCTTATATTTGGCAACCTTTGAGGACAGATGGGCCAGGTGCTGCGCCTTGGAGAAACCGCGGCGGAGCATGAAGGTCGCGCAGCCTGTGCAGAATGGCTTCAACGTCGCCGGCACAGGCGCGGATGAGCCCGCGGCCACCCGCCTCCAGGAGGACGCGCAACATTTTGAAAGGGCCAGCCCCGAGCGCGAAAAGAGTTCCGCTGGCTGGGCGCCCCTGGGCGATCCCGCCGGCGATCCAAAAATGATAAAGTCAGCCCCTCCTATGGAACCAGTACGCATGACATTGGCGCACAGGTCCAGGAGGAGCTGGGGGAGGGGGGTGGGGGGTGCAGCCGACGGAGGACAGAGAAGAGCCACTCATGGGACATGGAAGGGAAGACTCGGCCAAAGTCAATGTAAATGAGGGCGGCGAGGAGAGAGCGGGGTCACCTGACATACTGGCCTGACGCCCGCAGGCGCCCAACTCGATAATAAGGTTGTTCCCGAAGCTGCGGGGGGGGGGGGGCAAAGCCTCGCAGGGCCTCGCCCAGGCCGCCAGGTAACGTGTGGGCGAGGGGGCGGACCGACACCCCCGTGATCACTTGGTTGTTACAATTTTTCAAGCCGAGCGGGCGCGCGTCCGACGGGCGGCGGACGCCCTCGGGGGTGCCAGGGGGATCCGAGCCTTTGGGGGCGGAGATTCCGTGCGCCATAATATACACAAGCAGCAGACTATGGCCAGGGTGAATCCAGCGCATCGAATTAAACCAACAAAAAAAAAACGCTCGCGCCGCGGGGGGGGGCGTTCTTCCAGGACAGTAGGGGGGGCCTATCACGTCCAGGGGAACTGTGGGTCTGGGCGGCGAGGTACTTCCCAACATCCCGAAAAAGGGGTGGGTGGGGGGGGCACTGCAGTCCATAGTGGGGGGGCAGGCATCCAGGGCGGCTTCGGCGCCCTCGCGGTGGAAGTCCTCTGCAGTAAACATCGGGGCCCAGTGCTGTGCGAGCGAGCAGCTGAGGGTCGCAGCGGGCTGTCGGACCGCGCCCCCAGAGTCGCAGCGAACGCCCGCGAGCGTCGCGCGTCGGTCAAAGGCGACCAGAGCTGCGCAGGACGGGTCAGCCTACGAGCACGGGCGGTCAAACGAGCGATCGCGTTCGGATTCTGCAGCCGCTGAGCACTCGCCTGCAGGGGGCGTCGAGTTGCTGCGTGCGTGGGCGTGGAGGTGGAGGCCGATGGAGAGGTTGGTGCAGGAGGCGGGGTCCTGGAGGGGAATATTTCGGGCGGAGTGGTCGCCGCCTGCCCCCTGCAGAGCAGGCGCGAGCGGTGAAGCTTGCGCGCGAGCAGCCAGTCTTGCCTCTGACCACCAGGTATTGGCGAGATTGGGAGCCGGGCCGTTTCGGGATGATCAAGTCCCGAGCGTGGCGCCCAGCCTCGACCACCAAGGATTTGCAGTGCTCGCGGGCCAGGGCGGGCGAGAACTGGCCACGCGGGGCGGCCCCCGCCGCCTCGCCAAGACAATCGCGAAACTCAAGCCTTCGGCGCGGGGCGGTCCCCGGGAGGGGCGGAGGGTCGGATGCAGATCATCTTGCGCCGTCGCGGGGGCATGGTCCGAGAGACCTTGGGCGCCCAAAATTTTGGGGCGTTCGAGAACCACTCCTCCCGAAACGCGCTGCGAGAGAATCCGGCCAGGCAGCGAGGGGAACGCCCGATCGATTAACCCCGGGGGTCGAGTGGCGCCCTTGAAGTGGGCGGGCGAGAGCAGCTCGAACTCAGTCGCTGAGGCGAGGGCATTCCTCCAGTTGGTGGGGGGGTGGGTGGGTGGGGGGATGGGGCCGCCAAGAGAGGCGGGGTCCAAATCCAAAGGGCCGCGGGGGAGGGGGCTCGTGAGATGAGAGGTTCAGATCCTAGCGACGAGAACCAATGTATTAAGCGAGTCATCCTGGGCCTCGCGCAGCGCCGCCGTGACCCGGTCGAGCAGCGGCGTCGACTCCGGCGTCGACATCCCGAAGTTGTGAATCTTACGGTGATCCACCCACTACTCATTATTCACTGCCCGAAAGCTGGTCAGAAGAATCCTTCCAGGAACAATCGGGGCGGAGGCGACCAGAGGGAAGGGGCTGCCAGTCATGGCCTCGCACGCACTGGACAGTTCAAAGAAAGGGAAAAGGGTGATCGCGCCTCCTGCACGTCGAGCCCGATGAAGAGAATACGACGCCTGGAAAAGGGAGGTGGTAGGAGTGGAGGAGGTCGGGGATGTCGCGCGGCGCTCCGTGCGTTTCCTGGGGGGGCGGCGATTGTGCCAGCCTGGAAAAGTCTGCGCAACATCTCGATGTTGCGCACTCGCTTGGCGGCGCAATGGCGGGGTAGCGCGCGAGCATTCCACGTGGCAGCGCGAGGGCTGAAAGCGCTGGCAGGCCCACTCCGCTCAGATGCGCCGTGCCACAGGGCGCCCAAACCTGCCGGGGGCGCCACCGAGGCGGCCCAGGCGCGCCGAGCTCGGAAAAGAAGACGGCGCGCGCCCTGGCCGCGCCCATGTTCTCGTCGCGCATGTTCTTTTCGGCCCAGCATGTTGACGGCGTCTCCTGACTATCGACGGGGCTGATCTGAGCGGTGGGCTTCCATCCCGCGAGGACCTCGCCCTTCTGCTCGCCCACGTAATACCCTTTGCCTGGGCAGAGTTGCGCGAGTATCGCCCACGCCATCTTGGCGCCCAACTCGCGCTTGATCTGGGAAGCGTTCTTGTCGGGGCCCGCGCAGAGGGGGATCTGCTCGCCCGAGATCGCCGTCGCCGAGAAGGACCACCAGACGGGGCGAGCACCAGGGGTGGCAGTCTTGAAGGCGCCGAGGGCCTGGGCCACCCTACGCGCCGCCAGACCGCTGGCGCCGATGAGTGTGATAGTGCAACGCATGGCAGAAGGCTCCATGTCGAACTTCCATCCGACGAGCTCAGCAACGATGTTCGCGTCGTCGTACCACGGCTGGAGGCTTGCCTCGACCTCCGCCTGAGTGACCGTGCTGTGGGTGCGCACGATGACCGCGCACGGGTCGACCACGCGGTTGAATGAGCTGGCGCCGACGCGGATGACAGGCTGAGGTTCTTCTTCTCGGACGACGCGGGATAATTCGCGAATGTTGTCGGGTTGCTTGTCGATGGTGTCCACGCGAGCGTCGTGTCTCGGGACCCTCTGCTCGGCGCGACTGACACGGACTTCCATATGCTTAAGGAGGTCGCGACGTCCTCCGGGACCCTGCCGAGGGTGTTGGAGACGTATTGACGTATTGCAGGACGTTGGCGATGGACAGGGACAGCGTGTTCCTGATGCTCCCGACGTACAGCCGCATGTCAGCGTCAGGGACGGCTGCGCCTTCGACAGCAGGATCAGGCGGAGCGGAGGGCGCCGCATCAGCAGCTGGTGTACCGAGATGGGCAGGCTGGGCAAGACCATGCGCCGATGGTGCAGGGCCAGCGGTAGCGGGGGATGGTCTAGCACTTCCTGTACCCGCACCTGCGGGCTCGGCGTCATGAGGTGAACGACTGCGGCTGCTTTCGGTGGGGCCTTTTGGCAGGGCCCACGGAACGAGTAGCAGCAGGACGAGGGCCGCGACGTGGGTGAGCATTTGCCGTCTCCTGGGTGGGGAAAGGTCGCTGCCATGGCACGGTCGACCTCCAACTGCTGCAGGCCCTGCGTGCTCGGGAAGGCCATGGTGACGGAAGGTTGGTGGGAGGTGGCGTGGCTAAGAGGGGGAACCCGCTGGGCCCGAAGGCGCTCGGACGGCGGCGAGTGTGAATGGGGGCCTCTCACCCTTGGCAGGGCTGCTCATGAGAGGCGGAGTGCTATCGCAGCAACTGAAAAAGGGACTCGGGCCAGCCCCTTGGCTTCGAACAGGCCCCAACCACTGAGACGAAATCTCTGCGGACCTCCCCTTCCTCCTCCTCCTCCTCCCTCCTCCTCCTCCTCCTCCTCCTCCTGCTCTCCTCCTCCTCCTGCTGTCCTCCTCCTCCTCCTCCTCCTCCTCCTCCTCCTCCTACTCCTCCTCCTCCCCCCCAAGCCTCCACTCTCGCGCGGTGGCGTCCCAGACGGGATTCTGCGTCTTCAGACCGCGCGACTCGTGCCTGTAGATCAGGTCGGAGTCGAACCTCGGCATAAAGGGCGGTGGTGGCGGCTCCACGTACCTCGAGGGGCGCGAGAATCCGCGGCGAGCGAGGGGGGGAAGAGGATGATGAGGAGGCGGAGGAAGAGGAGGAGGAAGAGGAGGAGGAGGAGGAGGAGGAGGAGGATAAGAAGGAGGGGGAGAGGAGGAGGACGGAGGGAGACGAAAGGATCCAGGAGCACGGAGGAGCGAGAAACAGCTGGAGCATGCAAAAGGAAGGCGGCGGCGAGCGGGGGGTGGGAAATGAAAAGGAGAAGGCCTTCCCAGAAGGCGGCGGGACTTCTCAGAAGACCTCGCGCATTGCAAGACATTTTGTTGCGTCTTCGGGGGAGGCTCGGACA